ACTTCTGAAGATACTTGCCATAGATGCAGGCGAAACGTCAGGAGAGAATGCCTCTCGAACATGGCCATATAGCCCGAAAAAACCTACAACAACCCAGTGATTCCGGCCATGAAAGCCTTCGACAATACGTCTATGAAATTACAAACTTCTGTTCTGGGTGAATTATTGAAGATAAAATTACTAGCAGGGCAAGTCCCACTGAAGGAAAATCTCTGTGATTTCTGCAAAGGCTTCTGTTTTTGTCTCGGAATGCCAACACATATGTGGATATGTGGGGAAGGGACAGATATTTTTACTTAGATTTGTAAAATAATTTGGTCAGAATGCCCCACCAAGGCTTCCTGAGCAAACACAGAAGTCATGGGATAAGAAGAGAGGACCTTTTATGAACTAGTAGTTGGTTGCATAACAGGAAGCAGAGAGTATGTCTAAATTGACAGTTATCCAATAGAAGGATGAAAACAGTGAAATGCCCGTGGTCTGGTGTTTTTTCACATGTTCTTAAATGACCTGGCTTTGGGTTGAGCAGTGAAAAATTGTAATATTAAGCATAGCAGAGAGTAGTCATGTACATTGGTATAGAATCGCTATATCATGGTCACATAATAAATTCAGGATCAAAATAATAACATTTTGTCATTTGAACAATAATCATCATCATCATAATATATTTTATTCTTTATTTGTTTCTCCACATAGCCCGAGAAAGGGAAACATTGTTTGTATGTGTATATAGTATATGAATATTGCTTCCTCAAAGGATGTATGTGACCAGGTTTCTTAAATAAATGCAGTACTACAGCATGACTGCAGGTAGTCGAGCTGCAGGGAGAGGCGGGTAATAAATCCATTGTTATTATTGTTGTTATTATTATTGTTATAGCCAAAGACTATATAACCACATGGCAGGGGGTTGGATTAGATGCCCATGCGGTCTTTTCCAACTCTATGATTCTAAGACAAGAGGTGGTTTTTATGTATGTTTCAAACTTCTGCCTTTGATTTTATGCTCTTGCCGTGCGTAATGGAGAATGACTGATATAAATACTAAATTCTTTTTAACCCCCTCTTGGGATTTTGGTTTTCTTTTTCTTTTTCCTTGAAAAAAAGCTGTCAGACAGCTGTGCCAAGTGACAAACCATTGTGGTGTGAAGATTTTTCTTGTTGAAGAATCCGTCTTGCATGTTTCTTTATCTCTCAGTTGCTAGCTGAGCATGTTCCTTTCTCTCTCTTTCTTATGGATTCACTTGAATCCACTGTTAATGGGCTTTGTAATTACGCTTAATTCTGTCGTTAAGTAAACCAGATATCTCACTGAAATGCCTGCTCTCTTGACAAACTGTGTCAGCTATTGTAAAATGCCAAGAGTGTTCAAACACTTTCATAGCAAGCTTTGCAATTAAAAAGAGAAGCTAAAACAATACATGCTGTTCTGTGTATTAACATGTTGTATTGCAGTGTTTTGCTTTTATTTTTTGGCTATATTTAGACATAGAGAGTGCCTTTTCTCATAGGTAAAGTTCCTGAAAGCAGGCCTGTTACAAGAGAAAATGATGCAAATTCAGAATAGAATTACGGTATATCACTTCTGCAAAGGAACACAGCATTCAAACCGCACAAGTACAAACTGGACAATGTAAAAAGGCATAGGTGTATAGATTCAACACATTGACTATAAAGGTTTGAAAAAAGAAGTGCTTATCTGATAGCATAATTCCACCCATAAAGCAAGTTAGTATTTTGAAATGAGCATCTTCCATTTAAGCAGTCTGTTCCAAACAATGTGAAAAATAAATCTTTCGGAGTCAAGGACGGGCTTCTATTTAGAAGTACCATTTTTTTCTGGCGTATAAGACTACTTTTTAACCCAAGAAAATCTTCTCAAAAGTCAGGGGTCATCTTATACGCCGGGAGTCGTCTTATATGCCGGGAGTCATCTTACAGAGCAGGTGCTGAAACTTCCAATCCAGATTGGAGAATCTGTGGTTGCTGTATATGGTGGGGGGGGGGGCACTCAAAAATGGCAGTGGCCGCGTCCCTGCCATATGCAGCAACTGTATGAAAGCATTAAGGGCGACGCTGTACAAGTGCGGTAGAAGAAAATCCATTCATCTGGATTCATGGACTTCACTTCGATGGTGAAGTGAAGGGACGCCTCACCAGGAAGGTGTAAGTGAAGGGCGGAGCAAGTTGCAGGTGTCCGGGGTGCCCGGGATATGGAAAAAAGAGATAGAGTGGCTCTGGGCCTAGAAAAACACACCTTTTTTGCCTGTCTGGCCCACCCTTGGATCCTATTACTGTACCTCCTCCTCTGCCTCTCAGATCTCACTCCTGAAGACTGCAGTGAAGTGGTGCAGGTGCGCATGTGCGAGATCTGAGAGGCAGAGACGGAGGCAGAGGTACAGTAATAGGAAAACGACCATTTGAAATCAAATCTGATGCTTTTAAAATTTTTATTTGGTGTGCATTGGAAAAGGGGTAGTCTTATACTGCGAGTATATCCCAAACTCTATATTTTAACTGGAAAATTTGGGGGTCGTCTTATACGCCCAGTCGTCTTATATGCAACACATTACAATAAAATAAAATAAAACCAAGGCATAAAACAACAACACATTAAAATACATAGAACATGAGAATACAGTAAACAATATAAAATACAATAAAAGTCATTCACAATCCCAGTGACAGTAAGTGGGCCACATGTACAGGATAAAATACTAATAATTCAGGGTGAGATAGGAATGGAGCAGATTATTTGTGAGGGAGAGCACATAAAAACGGGGTCGTAGAACTAGACCTTCATACAAGGGGGGGGAATATACTGTAGGGATAAACGTTGAGGGGGAGCAACAATGAATAGTTGTGCGGTTCCTCTCTAAAAGCACAGTGGAAAAATCAGGTTTTGAGATCCTTCTTGAAGGTTTCTAAGGAGGGGGCTTGCCTAATTTCACCGGGCAATGGGTTCCAAAGTCGGATGCTGACATTTCTGGTATGTGGACAAGTCTTCTGGAGAAAGAAAACATGAAACATCCGCATTATATTTATTGGAAGTAGTGAAGTTTTAATTCTGATGAAAATGGCATGCTGTTAATGGTGTGACTATTTCCAGAAATGTTCCAATAGCCTTATAAATAGAGATGTTAGCAGTGAACGTTCATATCTCAGCTTCTGTGAGAATGTAAGAGTCATCACTTTGACACAGATCAAAATCTCCAGACAGGATTTATTCGAGGAGGAGCTCTGTCAGTTAGATTAAAGACTGGAAACCTGATTTGGATGTTTCAAAAGGAAAGCAGCCTGAGGGGTGGAGTATGGAGTTAGGTAGCTGAGCAAAAGAAAGAGTAAGCAGGAGAAATAAGATGAAGGAAAGAGAAGCAAGGTCAGGCGGAAGAAACAAGTGCCCGAACAGCTAGAAAACATGGATCATGTAAAGCAAGGGAAACCTGTGCATTTTAGATATAATATTGGGTTATTGTTGGTTTGTCGGGCTGTATGGCCATGTTCTAGAAGCACTCTCTCCCAACATTTCACCTGCATCTGTGACAGAGGTTGTGAGGTCTGTTGGAAACTAGGAAAATTGGGTTTATATATCTGTGGAAAGTCCAGGGTGGGAGAAAGGACTCTTGTCTGTTGGTGCTAGGTGTGAATGTTTCAATTGGCCACCTTGATTAGCATTTGATGACCTGACAGTTTTTAGGTGTGGCATGTTACTGCCTGGGAGAATCCTTTGTTGAGAGGTGATTATGTGTTCCTGATTGTTTCTCCTCTGGAGTTCCCCTGTTTGAGTTTTGTTCTTTATTTACTGTTACAATTTTATCTTCTTTTAAATACTTGGAGCCAGATTTTAGAACATGGCCATAAAGCCTTCCACAGTACATTAAATATAATGTTGCTTACTTGGAAAAGTCACATAATGCACAGAGGTGAAAATTTCAAGACACACTCCTAGTATGTCATCAAAAGAAGTAGTTTCTGTTTAACCTGGGTTGGATGGCTGGCAGACATTGGCTTCCTACAAGATCTCAGACAGTGGCATCATTAGCCATGTTTCAGCAACACCTAATTTTTAAAATAATTTAAAAATTAAAGTGGGTGTCTGGGACAGGAAGTGATCCTGAGAATCACATGTCGCCTGCACGTCACTCTTTCCCCCTTTTCCATGTAGACTTGTCTTTCTATTTTATGGCTTTGGATACTGGGAAGGAATCAGCTGACCAGACAATAAATGTTACTAGCCTAAGCTACACCATTTTTCCTGTTTCCTAATATTATAATCAATAATCCCGTTATTACTATATACTTGAATATAAGCCTAGTTTTTCAGTCCTTTTTTTAGGCTGAAAAAGTCTCCCCCGGCTTATACTCGAGTCAAGGTTATTTATTATTTTACTTTGTTGTTGTTGTTGTTGTTGTTGTTGTTTTACTTTATTATTGTCGTTATTAAATTTATTATTTTACTCTATTTATTATTGTTATTGTTACATTTATTATTTTACTCTATTATTGTTATTATTACATTTATTATTTTACTCTATTATTATTATTACTATTATTATTATTTTACTCTATTATTATTATTATTTTACTCTATTTATTATTATTGGAAGGATACTTAAGCATATTTACATTGAAGAAGGTTAGAATAATGGTTGAATCAGAGTTGGACAGTCTTATGTTGAATTACAGTTTTATGTAAATATTCAAAAACATTTAACCAGCTGATGCCTCAATTAATGTAATTTTATTGGTATCTATTTTTATTTTGAAATTGACCCGTAAATGCTGCATTTCCCACCCTCGACTTATATTCGAGTAAATCCATTTCCCCAGTTTTTTGTGCTAAAATTAGGTGCCTCGGCTTATATTCGGGTCGGCTTATACTCGAGTATATACGGTAATTTTCTCCTTCCTTCAGAAAAGCGTCTTCTGACATCCTGTCCCACTGCATTTATGCTCTTAGTATAAAGACTGTTTTGTTTCTCATTGCTTTCCTGTAGGAACCATACTATGTCCGCTGTATTAAGCCCAATGACAAAAAATCGCCACAGGTATTCGATGAGGAACGTTGCAGGCATCAGGTGGAATACCTTGGCCTCTTGGAGAATGTGCGAGTTCGACGAGCAGGATTTGCCTATCGCCAGACATATGAGAAGTTCCTTCATAGGTAACAAAACATAAGAACTTGTCATACTTCTGATTTTTTTGAGAAACTGTTTTATTTTAAAGGCAAACAATTGTGTGGTATAGCATAGTACTGGCATTTTAACACAAATCCTAGTGTCTGATTAATGTCACTTTTGTGTTTTCATTGTTAAATGCAGTACCACCAGGGTTTCAGATTAAAGTTTTGGCTTCATAGTTTCCTTAGAATAGATTCATTATCAAGATTTAAAAGAGACTGGGCTCCTTTTTTGAGAAAAAAGATGTGAAGTACAAGAAATACTTTCCCTTCTTGTGCTTAGCAAGTAGAGAACTGGAATCAACTGCAAAGGGTTTGGCTGTCTGAGTACATAAAATATGTATGTGTTCCCTGTGGCAGAGTAAGAGCTTCTCGACAGAACTAAATAAAAATGTGCACACACGCCTTTTGTTGCAAGGCCAAAAACAATTGTGGCAAAATGGAACAGTCATGGATAGATATGAATAATTCTCCATAGTCGCCCAGCCCTCTATCAACTGAAATTTACTTAAACCCTGGTAGTTAATTTTTTTTTAAAAAGATACTGTTTTTCAAAGCATTAACACTCCATTGGATGGAAATCTAATCCACATCTCTTTTGATGGGAACTTGTGTTTGACAGAAGTTGCAAATTCAGTTGGCTTATCTTAGAAGTCCATTTGATGGGGTAGGGGAGAATGGGGAGAAGTGTGATTGAGGTCAACCCTCCTGTTCAAGGAGCTCCATTTGCTGCCATTCATTTTCTGGTCCCAATTTAAGGTGCAGGTGCTTACCTATAAAGCCCTAAACGGTTTGGGACCTGCCTACCTGCGTGACCGCATCTCCATTTATGAACCCGTACGCTCCCTCTGGTCATCTGGTGAGGCCCTGCTCTCGATCCCACCTGCGTCGCAGGCGCGTTTGGTGGGGACGAGGGACAGGGCCTTCTCTGTGGTAGCTCCCCGACTCTGGAACTCGCTCCCCAAGGACATTAGACAAGCCCCAACGTTGGCTGTTTTTAGGAAGCGCCTGAAGACCTGGCTGTTCCAGTGTGCCTTTCCAGAATAGGAAACTCCTGGTTTCAAGTCCCAAGCATCTTGCTAGAGATTTAGGATTATCTGCACATTGTACCTACCCAAATACCTCTACATATTACCTGTCACGACAGCACTTTTTAACTTTTCCATTACATTGGCCCGGTCCTTGGTTTTAAATTGCGTCACAATGTTATTGTTTTATTGTTTTGCTTGATGTTTTATTATTTGCTTATGAGTTTATTGTGTATGGTATGTTGTTGTTGTCAGCGGCCTTGGCCTTTGTAAGCCGCATCGAGTCCTACGGGAGATTTTGCGGGGTATAAATAACGTTAATAATAATAATAATGCATGCTGGGTTGGACAGCACTGAAGACTATAAGCAGGTATAAAATAATCCCTGAATTAATTGCTGCAGGTACAAGATAATCCCTGAATTTACTTGGCCAAATCACAAGCTGCCATCAGACAAGGAAGCCGTGAAGAAACTGATTGAACACTGTGGATTTCAAGATGACGTAGCCTATGGGAAGACCAAGATTTTTATTCGCACACCACGGACACTCTTCACATTAGAAGAACTCCACGCCAAGATGCTTGTATGGGTTGTTCTCTTTTTACAAAAGGTGAGAGACCGTCGCGAAAGCTAATTTGAAACAACTTATCTGTAATCACTTGCAGGTTCAGAAAGCGAGGAGATATTGCATGGTGGAAGATTCCCTGTTACGGTTTATCTGTAGGCTGAACCTATCTCAATTTTAATTTGGCTGTAACTGAGCATATATTTTCCCTCATATAAATTAGCAATTGCCCATCGCGAGCAAAGGGCCCCACATTTTTGTCTAGGATCAGTTGAATTATCTTTGTCATAATTTAAATGTGTCACAATTTTTAAAAGGTAGCCAAACAAATATGAACATCTAAGAACAATTCATTTTAAGTGGTTTTAGTCATCCCTGCTGCTGTCAAACATCATACCAGGAGCTACATACAGGGAGCATACCACCCCCTTGTTGTGTCAGCTCCACTGGCTGCCTGTCCACTTCCGAGCCCAATTCAAAGTGCTGGTTTTGACCTATAAAGCTCTATATGGTTCTGGCCCAGCTTACTTGTCCGAACGCATCTGCCTCTACATCCCACCTTGTAACTTAAGATCATCCAGGGAGGCCCTGCTCTTCCTCGCACCAGCATCACAAACGCGGTTGGTGGGGACGAGAGACAGGGCCTTCTCGGCTGTGGCTCCCCACCTGTGGAACATGCTTCCAAATGAAATACGATTGACCGCATCTCTTCTGGCATTCAGGAAGAAATTAAAATCATGGTTTTGGGACCAGGCTTTTGGACAACAGACATAAAGCAGCACTTTGGTTGGAAATGGATTGGCAAGGCGATATATATGAGGATACGGTTTTATTGTTCAGTTAATGATTTTGTGTACTCAGTTCTTGTGGGTTTTTTCGGGCTATATGGCCATCTTCTAGAGGCATTTCTCCTGACGTTTCACCTGCATCTGTGGCAAGCATCCTCAGAGGTGAGGTCTGCTGGAACTGGGAAAAAGGGGGTTTATATATCTGTGGAATAACCAGGGTAAGACAAAGGGCTTTTGTAAGTTGGGCTAGGTGTGGATCTTTCAACTGACCACCTTGATTAGCATACAATGGGCTGACTGTGCCTGGAGCAAACTCTTCTTGAAAGGTGATTAGATGTCCCTGCCTGTTTTTCTCTCTGCTGTTTTTGCTGTTGCAATTTTAGAATTTTTTAATACTGGTAGCCAGATTTTGTTCATTTTCATGGTTTCTTCCTTTCTGTTGAAATTGTCCACATGTTTGTGGATTTCAGTGGCTTCTCTGTGTAGTCTGACATGGTGGTTGTGAGAGTGGTCCAGCATTTTTGTGTTCTCAAATAATATTTTCTTGTAGTTAACGGTTATTGTATTTCATTGTTTATATATAACGGCATTGAATCGCTGCCAGTGTAAGTCATCCTGGGTGCCCCTTCCGGGGGTAGAGAAGAGACGGGGTATAAATACCGGAAATACCAGGAATAGGCAGGTAGTATGTTGGTTCTTTGAAACAGAGTGGGTAGCTTTGGTGGTTTTCTGCCATTGGGATTATCCGTGTGCTGCAGGAACTACCTAAAATATTCTTTCCAAAAAACATTCTAGAAGTGACAATTAAGTCTTCTTTTTTGCCAGAATGAAGGTGGTCTAGGCCACATGAGTCACACTCAATGCTTGTGGTCCAATCTGACCCATCATGTCTTTTTATGTGGTCCCCTAGATGCTAGACTGCAACGTCTGTATTCCTCATCATTAGACATGACTAGAATTGATGGGAGTTGTGATACAGTAACATCTGGAAAGCTGCCATTTGTTCTTCTTAGTCAGGAGAGTGGAGTTAGAATTTAGATACATGGTTTGCAGATATGGTTTCTTATTTTAAAATGTTCTTTAACTTTTCCCCAGCCTCAGAACCATAAGTCCTCTTGGATTGCACTTCCCATTACCTCCACTCTACATGGCGGATAAGCAAAAGTGATGGGACTTGTTGTTCCATATCATCTGTTGACCCAAACTGAGTAAAAAATAGAGTACTGACCACTATGTAAAAAAGTGATAGTTGGCCGTCTGTATCCACGGATTCGCTGTCCGTGGATTCTGTGTCCCTTTGAAGGCAATCATAAGGCTGATGTGGTCCTCAAGGAAAATGAGTTTGGCGCTCCTGGTCTATAAAAACTGGAGAGAATTAAGAGCTTAAAAGCCACCCTCACCCCTGTTTCAAAGTAGAGATTACCACTTTGTTTGGCTTTATAGTTTTCCCTAATTTAAATAGTAAGCTGTGGATGTAATGAAACAATGGATAAGATAAAAGGTGCATTTAGTGTAAATATGGATTAGGTGGACTATAGGAACATCTAGGCACTCGCCTACATGCTTTCAAACAGAGGACAATAGAGACACGGGCTATAAATGCCAGTCCTCTTGAAAGCATGAAGCATGTCCAATTAAAATAGCTCCTCTGTGTACACTATAGCCAAATATACTACTAGCAAAAAACGAGCAACATATGCTAACATATGGTTGTTGTAAATAACCTTTGTTACCATGCCATTTTCCAATTTATTAAAAACTAGCTGTCCCCTGCCACGTGTTGCTGTGGCCCAGTCTGGAGATCTGGAAAATAAAGTAATGAGAAAGTGTTGGTTTCTAATATATGTAATTCCTTTATGCTTGTGAGTAAACAGTATTTCTTGTTGTTTCTTTGTCAGTGTTGATGTGGAGAGTGTCTGGTTTGCCTACTCTGGAATATGCAACATATAATAGTCCTTCTTTAAGGGTCTCTTTCAAATCTATGATACTATATCTGTGTGTGTGAGAGCGAATCATATCTATCTATCTATATCTATGGCTGGATGGCTCTTTCTCAAGAGGGCCCTGATTACATTTTCTTGCCCTGGTAAAGAGAGTTGGACGGGATGGCCTTAAGTATTTTCTGTTGGTCATGGGGTTTCTGTGTGGGAAATTTGCCCCGATTCTGTCGTTTGTGGGATTCAGAATGCTCTTTGATTGTAGGTGAACTATAAATCCCAGTAACTACAACTCCCAAATGTCAAGGTCTATTTCCCCCAAACTCCATCTGTGTTCATTTGAGCATATTGAGTATTCGTGCCAAGTTTGGGCCAGATCTACCATTTGTTTGAGTCCACAGTGCTCTCTGGATGTTGGTGAACTACAACTCCAAAACTCAAGGTCAATGCCCACCAAATCCTCCCAGTATTTTCTGTTGGTCATGGGAGTTCTGTGTGCCAAGTTTGGTTCAATTCCATCATTGGTGGAGTTCAGAATGCTCTTTGATTGTAGGTGAACTATAAATCCCAGCAACTACAACTCCAAAATGTCAAGGTCTATTTCCTCCAAACTCCATCTGTGTTCATATTTGGGCATATTGAGTATTTGTGCCAAGTTTGGTCCAGATCCATCATTGTTTGAGTCCACAGTGCTCTCTGGATGTAGGTGAACTACAACTCCCAAACTCAAGGTCAATGCCCACCAAACCCATTCCAGTTTTCTGTTGGTCATGGGAGTTCTGTGTGCCAAGTTTGGTTCAATTCCATCATTGGTTGAGTTCAGAATGCTCTTTGAATGTAGGCGAACTATCAATCCCAGCAACTACAACTCCCAAATGTCAAGGTCTAATTTTCCTCATCATCTGTGTTCATATTTGGGCATATGGAATATTTGTGCCAAGTTTGGTCCAGATCCATCATTGTTTGAGTCCACAGTGCTCTCTGGATGTGGGTGAACTATAATTCCCAAACTCAAGGTCAATGTCCACCAAACCCTTCCAGTTTTTTCTGTTGGTCATGGGAGCCCTGTGTGCTAAGTTTGGCCCAATTCCATCATTGCTGGAGTTCAGAATGCTCTTTGATTGTAGGTAAACTATAAATCCCAGCAACGACAATTCCCAAATGACAAAATCATTTTTTTTAGGACATACATTGGGCTGTTAGGTGCCTTGTGTCCAAATTTGGTGTCAATTCGTCCAGTAGTTTTTGAATTCTGTTAATCCCATTACATTTTTATTTATATAATTATTATTTTTAAAACCTCATATTCCTTCTATCACTAACACTTTCTTTCTTTCTTTCTTTTCCTTCTGACTTTTCTCCTGCATCTATGGCAAGCATCCTCAGAGACCTCACTACTTCTGAGGATGCTTGCCATAGATGCAGACGAAACGTCAGGAGAAAAATTGCCTCCAGAACATGGCCATATAGCCAGGAAAAACCTACAACAACCCAGTGATCCCGGCCATGAAAGCCTTCGACAATACATTGAACATTACATTTTTATTTATATAGATAAAGGCTGAAATTGTCAGTGCTTCTTGCCATGTTTATACATTCTCTTTTATGCCCGTCAATGCTAAGAAGCTATAGCTAATGGTTAGTAATGTGTCCATCCTCTTTGTCTAATGGGCGGGAATAATTCCTGACGTCCTTGCTGTCTCTTGTTTGACGATTTTTCCTGGTACTGAACTATCTCAAATTATAACCAGTACTTGAAATGGTAAATTACAGGCTGCTTTGTGGTAGCTTGCCCCATTTATAGTTGCTATCAGCAGGAAGGAGGAAATTAATTTTTCATGTGATGGTAGACTATTGATTCTTTACAGTGAGCATTAAATAAACATAAAAGGGAGTCAATGGAAATGTGAAGGGTCTTGCAACACCATTATTTTCCTTCAGAGGTCTTGCTTCTTAATAGAAGAGTAAATACAAGATTTAGCTGTCTTGGAAAGCTTTGAATTTTTAAATCTTTTTTTATTTTAAAAATAATGTAATTCATCTTAGCTTTTCTCAATCATTTCATACTTAAGAGTTGCTACTTGCTTTCCAGCAGAGGGGGCCCTTGTAAGTTGTCATTGCAGACAAACCTGATGTACAAAGTAGGCAAAATGCATGGGGGAGGGAGCAATTTTGCGTCTTTGTCACACAGTTGAGTGCATCTCCCTTAATTTTTTTTAACTGAAGGCAACTCCCCTAAATTAAGACACTGCATTTTTATTTGCTGATGAACATTCTTTTGTTGTTCCTTGCATCTCAAGCCTGTCTCTTTATATCTTGC